GTCAAGACAAAACTTACCGGGCAGTCCTTCGTCACACAGCGGACAGAAGACGGCAGTTTGTCAGTGAGACAACACTTTCCGCGGTTCATTACAACGCATTCATCCTTCGAATCGACCATAATCTCCCGACATTTGCAAACTCCTTGCTCATGAAAATGCCTGCGACCATAATTCAGGGAGAAAACAAAAAGTTGGCCCAACAGGGGGCAAAGAACCGCGCCCACACTACGCAAAGGCGATCAGAGGAGCGGGTAAGACTTTTCCACACACCTGCCAACATGCAACCCTCCGTGGTTTACGTTCAAMAMMATCCCTGGTTTTATGGTCCACACCATCCCTGCCCACATCTGCAGAGGAAAACACAAGAAACAACGACAGGTGGACAGCCCCATTCAACATCACTACTGCATGGCTGCCTGGATGGCTGCAGGCATGTGACAGTCGAGAAAGCGACAAGAAACCCATCGAGGGCTCTAGTCAGTGATTGATGCGTCCCCACAAGGAGGCCTCCAACACCCCGTCAAGTGCAAACCCATCTACCCAGGTGTGTGGGGCACGGAGCAAGCGAGTCCTTCGCTCTTCACACAGTGGGTTCGAGCCAGGTGTGCAATCAAGGCAAAGTCGTGAATGCACACTCCCACGTCAGAAACCACACTTGTCTGACTAAGGAGGGATCAAGCCAGGCGCCCAATCAAGGTAAAGTCGTGGATGCACACACTTGCCCGTCAGGAACCACACTGGTCTGACTACCATTGAAATCAAGGTAAATAGTGGATGAACGCTTGCACGTCAGCAGCATCCACACTAGTCTGACTAACGAGGATTCGACCCTGGTGTGCAATCAATTTCAAGTCGTGGACGCACACTTGCACGTCAGAAACCACACTTGTCTGATTAACGAGTAACAAAAACGACAGGCATGTGCCTTTCGGGCATGTCAGACGATATGAAACGGGAGAGCAATCAAGGTATGGTGATGGATGCACACTTGCACGTCACAAACCACACCACTCGTCTTACTAACGATGAAAAAAACGCAACAGGCAGGAGCCTTTCGGGATTGTCAGATGCGACTCACACATTTATCAATGCCTGTGCTGAGGGATGATGAGCAACTATCACGAATCTCCCCACGCTGATCACAGAATCTCACCGTAAGCCAAAGGAAAGTGCCATCATCTCTCATCTCTTGCACATCTGCTCCAAGTATCCCAAGGTTACCTCTCGTGGGCGCTCRAAAAGGTGTGGATCCACATCCTTGCGTCCTCCTGCCATGCCAAGACATGCTCTCGCCGGCAAACCTACAGGGCCACATACACGCATACCACAAACATGCCTCATGATGCACAAGAACAATGCAAAGGACACCACAGAGAGCTGCAGCCAGACAGTGGAGCCACCTGATGTCGAGAGCAAGTTTCTATCAGAGTCCCTTACTRACCCGTGCATGCAGTGTCTTCAACTTTTCACCACCTTCGCGCCTGCTCCAAGCATCCCAAGGTTATACCACGGCAGTTACTGTCAACGCCGCAGATCGGCACCCTTACGCTCTCCAGATTATAGCTTCTCTGCCATACCATGGGCAGAAGAAACCACCAGAGGTGAGCAACTACCGCAGGAACTAACACAGAGACGGCCCACGGTATGCTAAACCATACCACATGGCAAACGGTACTCACACGTCCATCAATGCCTGCGCTGAGGGATGATAAATATCTATCACAATCCCACCGAAGAGAGTAATGACCAAAGGGAAATACCATCACCTTTCATCTCTTGCACGTCTGCTGCAAGCATCCCAAAGTTACCTCTTGAAGGCGCTTGTGCATCCACATCCTTGCACTCTCCTGCCGCACCAAGAGGCTCTCGCCCGTAAACCTAAGGGTACACATACACGGATACCACAAACATGCCTCACGATGCACAAGAATAATGCAAAGGACACCACAGAGAGCTGCACCCAGACAGTGTAGCTACCAGATGCCGAGAGGAAGTTTCTATCAGAGTCCCTTACTGAGCGGTCCACGCAGTCTCTTCAGCTTTCACCACTTCCACGTCCGCTCCAAGCATCCCCAGGTTACGCCACCGCAGTCGTTGTCAACACTGTAGATAGCCAGCTTTACTCACTCCAGATCATAGATACTCTGCGATACCATTGCCACAAGAAATCACGAGGCGCAAACAACTGTGGCCAGGACTAAGGCAGAGCAGTCCCACTGCACACTCTGGGATGTAGCAGGTACGTCGGCAACTAGGAACGATAAGAAAGAATCTTGTTATGGACAGAAAACAATCCTTAACTGCGGTTACAGGTCACGCCAGGGGGAGAAACCAACTCAAATCACTAAACAAATGGCAAATCCACACCCCCATCACGTAAAACAAAAGTCACTGCTCACAGGAAGTCGCTTATCGCACGAGGACCTCACCAAGGCGTTGCAGAGCCGTGACCAAAAGGAAGTACCAGCAACTTTCATCTCTTGAACGTCTGCTCCAGGCATCCCAAAGTTACCTCTTGAAGGCGCTTGTGCATCCACATCCTTGCATCCTCCTGCCGTACCAAGAGGCTCTCGCCGGCAAACCAAAGGGTCCATATACACGCATACCACAAACATGCCAGACAATGCACAAGAACAATGCAAAGGACACCACAGAGAGCTGCAGCCAGAAAGTGTATCTACCAGATGCCGCGAGCAAGTTTCTATCAGACTCCCCTACTGAGCCGTCCATGCAGTCTCTTCAGCTTTCACCACTTCCATGTCCGCTCCACGCATCCGAAGGTTACGCCACCGCTGTTGCTGTCAACAATGTCGATCGCCACCGCTGTTGCTGTCAACACTGTAGATCGCCACCTTCACTACACTGTAGATCGCCACTTGTTATGGACAGAAAATCCTCGACTGCTGTTACAGTTCATCAGGGGGAGAAACCATTTCAAATCACTAAACCAATGGTAAATCCACACCCCCATCACGCAAAACAAACGACACTGCGCACAGAAAGTCGCTTATCGCACAAGAACCTCACCAAGGCGTTGCAAACGCCAAAGCACACCCGGTAGTGACTGGTTGTCTAACGTCACGGCTTCAACCTGTCCAGAAATATATTCTGAAATGGACCCCTTGGCCCTTCTCAATTCGTAGTTCTCCTGTGCAAACCATGCAGAAGGAAATTCCAGCAATCAGCACACACCAGTCGCATTTGGCAAAATGCCCCAGTAATTGCCAACTTCTCCTAGGCGCTATTGCAAAAGTCCCAAGGCCCAAGCGGAGCGGTCCAGACTGCAAAGTTGCACACCCGCGTGACAGGGGCACAACACAAAGATTTCGGCCCAGAAGGACATTCTACCCACATCTTTCAGGGGCATTTTGGCATATATCTCAACTTATGGGGGTMTTTTGTAAAYTATCCCAAAGAAAAAAAMAAAATACGTCATCTTTTGGGGAACAGAATACAGGCCCCTTCCGTTTCCGATTTCGGCCAAATCACGCTCCCGTCATTCGCTCCCTGGAGGCTGGATGACACGCAAAAARTAGGGAATTTACATACCATAAGGCTGGATGACCATTGCACCACCAATAGTTGGCCCAGCTATCGGCCGCGGAAACTAWAAAAGACTAGAAACGTTTCTAGTCAGATGAATTTTGGCGCTCCTGTAGTAGCCCATACGTTTCCTAAAATCGTGGCGCGTTAACGACACGAGTCTASGAAGTACAGGTGGTTTAAACACAAATGAATTGCTGCCCAAAACAGCCATACGTGTTATGATCAGTCTGACTCCGGTCCCCTGTGCATCCGACCAAAATTGGGCAAAACAACATAACGAATTGCTGTCCGATACTAGAGAAACACAGCACAGGAACTCGCTGTCCACTTCTAGACAGCACGCAGCACAGGGACTCGTAATATAGACTAAACCCTAATGGGTCCACAAATCTTCGAACAGAACACAGTCCGCCAGCCACGGGAGGTCACGGAACGTCCAACTTTCCACAAATAACCATTACCACCAGGGTCGTGGGCCGAACTACATACCATGGTCCTACCACTCGAAAGAATAATTATCTAATCGTATCATCTCTCATCATCTTTACCCTCTTTAACTACTATACATGTCGGTAAATCACATCAAAGGATATCAAAACAACGAACATCCACGAGCAAATACAAATACAAATCCCTCAACAAAGAACTGCGCAAAGCAAGCCTGCCAGCCCGCAAGTACGGGCGCTCGTACGCCCGCCACCCTCAGTTCGCTCCGCCCCAATACACACCTCCAACTCGCTGCTGCTCCCCGACCATCCCTACAGTCACCACCCTCCCCATCGCCACCAATGGCGTCTCATAGCCCACAGTGCACGATAGAGAGGCAACAGCAACCGCAACAGCAAGCCACSCGCTGGAATATTTCATCAACAACAACGCTACTCAACGTACAGACACATCAGATGATTTTCATTGTACAACTCTACCTCAACCTCCAGACGACATACGATGGGCAACGCCAGTACGGTTCAACAATCCACTCCCGCCTACACCTTATCAATACCTCAATTACATAAACAGTYTTTGAACGCGGCCAAGCGTGGCCCACAGACCTTTCACAGCCTCTAATCCAATCTACCATGCGACAGCGGCCATCATAAACAAAGACGCATCRAAGGCATCCCTCGCAATCACTGACACTACCGCACGTTACCGTGGTTTCAAGTTTTGTGAGCACACCGACACTGAACAGTACCGCACGTTACCATAGGTTCACGTTTTGTGAGCACAACCGACTTGTTCACTACTTTAAAAGACCACGCTCCACTACTCTCGACACGTGCAAAACGATGAATCTTCCGCTAGAACACAGAAGATACATCGCCATAATATTGTCTTTTGTGCATGTCGAGAGTAGTGGAGCGACGCCCATAGCATGCGCTAACTGCAGAGTTCAAAACGATGAATCTTCCGCTAGAACTCAGAAAGATACATCGCAATGATATTCCGTCTTTTGTGCATGTCGAGAGGTAGAGCGATGCCCATAGCATGCGCTATCCGCACAGAGTTCTCATGATTTCACAAATTGTGAAACATCTGAGATGCTAACCGCTGCTTGCACTGTGCGGCATCTTAGGAAACTTCAATCGACAATAATCACAGCAATTGCTTATCAACGAGGTTTCACTACCAAATCTGAACCATAGAGCAGCTCTAAAGTTAACATCAGGACTTCGCTACACGCCGTAGACAGGCGATACGATAGGTGGACGCCGATCGAAATAAATCTGCAGTGTATAAAGTTGCGCTATGACGACATCAACACTAGCACTTCGGCCGGTAACACCTGCCAAGACAACGCCCGCATGCAGATGACACATCAAGTGCAGCCTCTCTGTTGGACATAAGGATTACAGTATTCCGGACATTACAGTCACTACACAACTGACAGTATTCCGGACATAACAGTCACTACACAACTGACCACTCTTTCAAGTGAAGTTCACAACTCCAATCGTAGTAACGAATATATACATTACTTCAAGCTAAGGGCACCAAATATTGTCCCGCATATGAACTCAGGTCATGGTCAGGTCATGGTCGGGTTGTGAAACAC